TCCCTCCCTCCCCCAGCAATGTCCTCCCGTGTGAGGTATTCCGTTCTTTGCTTCTATGATAGCTCACTGAGTGTGATGGTCTCCAGCTGCATCCATGTTGCTGCAAAGGCCATGATTTTGTTCTTGTTTGTGGCTGCATAGTACTCCACCATGTATGTGCAGTGCAGTTTATTTGCCCATCCATCTTCAAAGGGCCTCTGGGCGGGTTCCGCCTGTGTCTCTGCTGTTGCCCACACACCTCTGGCCTCCGGCCTTTGCTGTGGAGTGCCACAAGGACACAGTTTGCTGGTGTCACCGGGCATCCCTCAGCTCTGCCTGTGTGTGCTTGTGTGCTGAGGTCTGTGCAGTGTGGACGGGGAGGTCAGCTCTCGCAGGCGTCCACCTCACCATGACACCAAAGTCTGGGTGCAGAAGGCAAGCCTGTGCTCAGCGTGTGCTCGTCAGCAAGCCAATGCAGGACATCCGTGTGAGGCCGGCCCCAGATGTCCACACAGCCAGCTCCAGAGCTGAGTCCCAGCTCTCCGCCCACCTGGGTCCTGGAGCTGCTCCTGAGAGAAACATTCAGGGAGGAAGGCAGGAGAACGTTCTAGATCAGTGGATTTCAAACGCAAGCAGGTGCCAGCATTGCCGGGGTGGGGGGGCAAGGCCCACCCAGAGCTGACAGGATACGCACCGCGCTGTGAGGTGGGTGATCTGGAAGTGTGCGCCACTGCTGTTTCTGGTAGCTGGCATCAGGCCCTTGTGATGCCCTAACCCATGGCTGGACATAGGGCCATTTAGAGAGTGAGTCTGAGCGCTGCCCCTCTAGATGTAGGTTACAGGACACTATGGTGCTTGTACCCAGAGCCATGAGGGTGGAGAAGGTCTCTGACCATTAATTTTGTGAATGAAAACCATTTTTCAGCTGGGCATGGTGGCTCACTCCTGTAATCCCAGCACTTTGGGAGGCTGAGGCAGGAGGATTGCTTGAGGCCAGGAGTTGGAGACTAGCCTGGGCAGCATAGTGAGACCCTGTCTCTACAAAACATTTAAAAAATAAAGGGCAACCCCTTTGGGTCCCCTCCCACTGTGGGAGCTTTTCTGTCCTCTCAATAAATCCTGCTTTCTCACTAAAAATAAAATAAATAAAATTTAAAAATTAACTAGGCATGGTGTCCTGTGCCTGTAGTCCCAGCTACTCAGGAGACTGAGACAAGAGGATCGCTTGAGCCCAGGAGTCCGAGGCTGTGGTGAACTATGGTCGTGCCGCTGCACCCCAGCCTGGGTGACAGAGAGAGAGATTCTGTCTCTTAAAAAAAAATGGAATTAATAAACAAGAAAAATGGAACTAAAAAACAAAAAAAGCACAGTGGCTCATGCCTGTCATCCCAGCACTTTGGGAGGTAGAGGCAAGAGGGCTGCCTGAGCTCAGATGTTTGAGACCACCCTGGGAAACTCGGCGAGACTCCAACTTATAGTAAGTCCAAAAATTAGCCAGGTGTGGTAGCGTGTGCCTGTAGTTCCAGCTACCTGGAAGGCTGAGGCAGAAGGATCGCCTGAGCCCAGCAGGTCGAGGCTGTGGTAGCCGTGAGTGTGCCCCTACACTCCAGCCTGGGCCACAGAGTGAGACTCTGACTCAAAAAAAACAGGAAAGCTGCTTCTCATGACTGTTGGCTAATTGGCAAAGCCTGCAGTGTGGGTTGATGGGCCAGTGACATGCCCAATGTCAAAGGGAGTGTGGCCTCCTGGCAGAGGACTTCCTGGAGGGGGCGCGCAGGATGGCCTCAAAATGAGCACGCCTGTCCCCACAAGTGTTTAGGAATGAGTCACAGCCCGTTCACAAACCCTGCTTTGTCATGTCCACAGACCGAGCCCGAGATCATTGAGGAAACCAACGTGGACCGAGTCCACGAGGCCCGGGGCTACGGCCGGTCCCGGCAGGCGAAGGGCCACTCAGAGACGTCCACGCTGAGCTCCCAGCCGTCCATCGACGAGGTCCGACAGCAGATGCACCTGCTGCTGGAAGAGGCCTTCAGCCTGGCGTCCGCAGGCCATGCAGGCCACGCGGGCCAGAGCCGCCACCAGGAGACCCACGGCTCGGCCCAGCACCCGCCCTACTCGGAGGTGGTGACCAGCGCCCCGGGGACCATGACACGGCCTCGGGCAGGGGTGCAGTGGGTGCCGACCTACCGCCCGGACGTATACCAGTACAGCCTGCCCCGGCCGGTGAGTCGCACGTCCCTCGCGCGCGCTCCCAGCAGGGACGTGAAGCAGGGACCACGAGCTGAGGGGCTTGGGGTTTGGAGGCGAGGGTGCCAGGCTCTCGTCCCCGCTCCCACCACAACCAGAGTCCAGGCCACTGACTCCTGCGGGCAGGGCACACAAAGAGCCCTGATGCCCAGCCCCGGTGCGGGAGAAGGAATGTCCCCTCCTACTTCATAGGTCCTAGGGTGGCTTTCCTTTTCTGTGCTCCCTCCCGTCGAGGGCTGACCTCATTCTCCATACCCAGGTGGTTTCCTGCTCTTTCAAGTGTGAGACCCATTTAAGATGTCCAAAGGCATCCCAGACCCCGTGCTGAGAGACTGGGTAGCCTGGGGTGAGGACTGTGGGCTTTGAGCCAGGTGGCTTGGCTTTGAATCCCAGCTTTGCCATGTGAGAGCTGTCAGATCAGAACAGTAACTGTGGTCAAAACCAAACAAAAACAAGGCCAGTGCGGTGGCTCATGCCTGTCATTCCAGCACTTTGGGAGGCCAAGGTAAGAGGATTCCCTGAGCCCAGTAGTTTGAGACCAGCCTGGGCAACATGGCAAGACCTCATCTATACAAAAAAAAATTTTTTTCAATTAGCTGGCATGGTGGCACACACCTGTAGTCCCAGCTACTTGGGAGGCCGAGGCAGAAGGATCCCCTGAGCCCAGGAGGGTAAGGCTGCATGAGCCGTGGTTGTGGCAAGACACTCCAGCCTGGGCGACAGAGGGGAACCCCAACAGCAATAACAACAGCAAACTTGACTGATAGGTCTGGGGACGGCCACAAAGGGAGGGTTTTTTCACGCATAAATGTCTGATGCTAAGGGCTGTCCCAAGAAGCTTTGCAGAGCCACACCCTTGCACAAAGGACATGCAGTCTCACACACACACGCTCCTTCTGCCCGTCCGGCTTCATCTGTGCCACCCTGGGTGGTGATCCCTGTCACCAGGGATGGTGACCTCATGACAGCCATGCAGTCTGCTCATTTTCCCTGAAGAACCTTGGTCTCTCTTCACCACCCTGAACACGCAGATGGTTGGCCAGGGCCCAGGCATTCCTGCCACATGCTCGCTCCCAGACAAATACCCTTTTTGGAGCCTCGTTCTGTCTGTTGCTTAGGTGGGCAGGCCGCTTGCTCACTCTGTAACTCGGGGAAATTACTTGAATTCAGATGAAAAGAAACAACTAAGAAAGACAACGTCCTCTTGGAATTGTCGCAAAAGTCCAGCAGATTGACGTGTGCGGCATGAGATGGCTCCCGGGTGCGCCGTTCATGCCCAGGATGCATCCACCACGGGCCGTCCATTCTGTGGTACCCGCAGTCCACCTGTGAGAAAGTGTCCGAGGGCCGAGACCCTCTGTGAACTGCGTGGGTCTCGGCAATTATAATTTCATTCATCACCACAGTGCTTGCACAAAGCTTTTTTAAGCAGACAGACATCATCTCATGAGCCACGATTGTCATAAACAGCACTATATGCACGTAGAGGCACCAGGTTCTGGGCTCTGGGCGGGGTCTGGGATTCTGGGCAAAAAAAGCTGCAACACCTAGAACAAGTCTTCCGACTGGCGACACACAGACAGATGGGGCGTGAAACCATCTAAGACGCGTACTGGGGCCCCATCAAGGTTCAGCAATCAGGTTCGCGAACCATCCTAGGAAAAGTGCTCCGTGCCTCATGGCCAAATATCACCATGGTCACCTCCGAAGTACTCCCCTTGGGAAGCGCTGCACTGATGCCTGGCCTAGCCCACCTATCAAAGCAGTCTCGGAGCTCTTTTTCTGGAATGGCCATCGGAGCTGTCACTGTTATTTGTTGCCACTGACATTTAAGTTCGCAAAGTTGGCAGCACTGTATGAGCAACTGTATTGGAACACCCTCCCTCCTCACCTGATCTGGCCCCCAGTGACTTTTTTCTTTACTCGAAGATAAAGGAAATATTGAAAGGGAGACATCTGGACATTCAGGGTTTCAAGGGTCCTACGACAACAGCTCTGATGGCTGTTCCAGAAAAGGAGTTCCAAAATTGTTTTGATGAGTGGACGAGGCACTGGTGTCGGTGCCTGGCTTCCCAAGGGGAGGACCTCAAAGTGACTGTGGTGACCTTTGGCCAGGGTATGGAGCACGTTTTCTAGGATGGCTCACAACGAACTTAGTTGTCGGACCGTGCATCTTTACAATGAAGCCGCCTGAGATGGGAAGGCCCTGAGAGTGGGCGACAGAGGTTGGCCTCCAAGGGGACAGCGTCAGGGCAGACCTCTCATCACGGCGGGTCCATCTTGGCCAGCCACACCTGTGGCCCTTCTCGTCATGAAAGGAGCTCGCTAATGCCGCCCTAGAAATGACGATTCTCACCCCAACCTCTTCCCGAGTTCCCCTGTGCAGCGACCTTGCGGAAAGCAGTTGAAAAGCAGCGACTTGGAAGGACAACCATGACGGCTTCCATCCCCTAAAGCGGAAGGCTCGGGGCCCTGCCAGGGAGCACCAGGAGCTGGTGGGTTCAGCCCGCCAGGCAGGCCCAGGGTGTCAGTGTCCCAGAAGAGGCCCCTGCCAGCAGCCTGGGGTCCACACTGTGGTTTCCAAGACTCTTGGTCCTATTTTACTGCTGGGATCTGTGACGACTTCAAGCTCCAACCTAATGACCCATCTAATCTTGACGGCAGTCCTAACAGCCTGCGCCAAGAACGGAAATGTCCTACAGCCTTCCTGCTGGCACAGAGGAGGGGGGTTTGGAAAAGACCACAGGGCTCAAGCCACACCTTCCGCAGACCCTCCTGACAGGTGGGCCCACCTGGAACAGCAGGAAAGACAGCTGGCTCTGTTCACCAGACACTAAGCCACGCTGTGTAGACCTGATCCCTTCCGATCCAACAGCCACCCTGTGAGGTCACGATGATCCCAGAGGACTCAATGAGGAAACCAAGGCGTGCAGAAGGAAAGAAACATGCCCACGTTGATACGGATATAAGTGGCTGGATGTTAATTAGGACCTGGAGCTGCCTGACTTCAAAGCCAAAGTGAGTTGTGGGGTGTCCTCAGGCTGGGCGAGAATCCCACACCCAGGTGTGGGCATGATCCTCTCCCAAGGAAGCTCACTGGTGGCAGGGACCATTCATTCCAGTCCTCACCCCAGCAAGGCAGGCATCTCCAGTGGGGCAAAGCTGGAAATGTTAGTCTTTTTCCTCCTCTCCCCCTGAAAACAAGCAACCCCCCCAATGTCAGTGTCAATGTCAATGTCAATGATGAAATGCACGACATGTCAGGAATGAGCTTGATTCTGCCACAACACTTGGGTTCGAGAAATGTCACATGTCTACGGCTGCAGACCCAGCTACTTGAGAGGCTGAGGGGGGAGGATCGCTTGAGCCCAGGAGCTTGAGGCCAGCCTGACAGCATAGTGAGACCCTGTCTTTACCCAAAAAAGGAGAAGGAAAGGAATGTTCCATTCCTTGCGTTCTCGTGTTTGTCCGAGTCAAGTTGGAGTGTCTTCTGGGCCCCATCTGGCCTGCTGTTCTGGGGCCTTGTCCACTCCGGCTGTCCTCAATCATGGGCGGCCTGGTGAAGGGGGGATCCCGCAGGGGTTGACACCACTGCTGACGCGCTGTCCGACTCTCAGAAACCCGGGAAGGTGGCCACGCTCTGTGCATGGGCCAGGCTGGGGCAGGAAAGTGGGGAGAGGGAGTCTTCGGGAGAGACCGCGGAGCTTGGCCCCAAACCCAGTGGCCAGAAAGGGGACCTTCCTGTTCTGTGTTCCCCCCCTCGGTCTCTATCGGCTCAGACTGTTTTCGGGGCGCCCGGGGGTGGGGCTGCAGTATCTGGTCCCAGCTCATCCTTGTCTGACCGCTCCGGCTGGCACCCCCTAAAAGTCCTTGTCCCCAAATGTCTCGGGGGGCGGTTCAGGCAGGGTAGCCAGACCTCCTCCTTCAGACCTTGCTTGGCCAGACCTCCTCCTCCTCCCTTGCTTGAGTGGGCTCCCACCCACCCACCCTCTCCCCCCTCTCCTCTCTCTTCCTCCCGCTTTTTTCTTTTTCTGCTCCCTCTTTCTCTCTTTCTCTGTCTGTCCCTGTCTTACTCTCCCTCCTCCTCCCTTTTTCTCTTTCTTTCTCTTTCTCCCCCTCTCTTTCTGTCTCTCTCTTCCTTCCTTTCTCTGTCTTATTCTCACCGCCTCCCTCTCTCCCTCGTCCTCTCTTTCCTCTCCTCCTCTCACTTCCTCTCTCTCCCCGCCCAGCACACAGACTCCTGCCTCCTCCCCTCTCTAACAGTGTCCTCCCCCTCGGGCATCACTCCCCGGGACGTCCAAGCCTTCTGGTGAGACCCCACCACCTCCCACCTCCTGTGGGCTGGGAAGCCAGGCCTGCTGTGCTCCTGCTGCTGCCTGGCCTTCCCAGAGGAGACGTGGGGCCCCTGTCTGTTGGACTCCCACCTTCGATGGGCTCCCAGGCCTCCGGCGAACAGGACACAGCCCCTTGGGCCCCAGGTAATGGCCCCGGGCGTCCCCTGCAGCCCGGCTCTCCTTCCTCTGGGCAGAGTAGTCTCACGGTCCCTGGCTTCTTCCGTGCCTCCTGCCGAGGCCTCACACTGTCTGGGCTCACTCTCCCCTGGGATTGCTGGAAAGGACCCAGCCCCTCACCTGCCACCCAGGGGCACCCGGGACCGGAACGCTGAACAGACTGTGGTCACCCCCCTTTCTTCCACGTTCCACCCACTCTTCCAAGCCCAGAGCCTGTCCGATTCCAGGCATGCCCGGTTCCCACCAACCTCCACCAGCCTCAGAGACCCAAGCCCAGGTACAAAGACAGTCTTCAGTTCCGAGTCACCGATCTCCTTCCTGGCCAGAGGGCAGGGACCCCAAGAGAGGGCATCCTCAGGCCCCAGGCTGGACACCTCACCGTCACCATCACAGCACTGGGAATGTAGGACCTGGTGACAGTTTCGTGTAGTAGCTTCCCATGGGATTTCAGTTCCCAGGCAGCCGGGAGAGAGCCGAATCCCTCAAGGAAGGCACTAGAACACTAAAACGGAGGGCTCGGAGCCATGGGGAACCTCACGAGGCAGTGGGAGGACACAACAGGCATCCCTGGCCCGTGAGCTCATGGCCCAGGCTGCCTGTTTGTTGTGTGGCCCTGTGGCTGCCCCACGACCCCGAGGATTCAGCCCAGAGGGCTCATCTGTCCGACGCATGGTCTTGTTTTGTACCTTGCAGAATCTTCCAGGCAGGAGATTCCCTGGGTGCTCATCAGAATTTCGGAGCTTTTCACGGGTTCTCTTGGTGAACTGCTGTGGGATAGACATGGTGGGGAAAGCCCTTTCTCGGTTGGAAAACTGTCAACTTCTGAATAGGCCTCCAAGAGCCAGAGATAAAAACAGATGGCCTGCCTCGTATGTTGAGCAGTAGGAGAGGCCAGAGGGAGGACAGGACTGCAGACCTCTTCTCTCTGTGTCGGAAAAGATGTGACTTGTGTGTGGGTTTGCTGATAACCATGGAGTGAAAAGCTGGAAGGGCGTCAGGACAAGGATTTGCAAACTCTAAGGGTCTGGGGAGGTCCCAGGGTCATGAGACAGGGAGCTGAGGGCCGAGTTCACCAGGACTTCAGCCAAATGCGTCCTAGGGGCTATCAGAATGGTTCCACAGCCAAGGAGATGTTCGGAAGCCCATGAACTGAGCTGGTGTCATATGTCACAAGAAAAGTAAAACAAGGCTCAGAGAGACTGTATAACATGTCCAAGATATGAATGGCTGAGGCGAGACGAGAGCCTGGGTGTCTGTCCTTCTGGCTCACATGCCATTCCTCCTGAAGGTGGCCGCCCAGCACTCCAGGCGAAGGACACCTTGCTTAGTCAAGCAGATGTGGTTCCAACCTCCAGGGAGCATGGGATCTATGGAGCTGTAGTCTTGGCTCCCCAAATTCTCCTGCCATACACGGTGTACACAGATCCTCAGAAAGCAGAGGCACAGCTCAGTAGTGCCACCATCCAGGCCGACTTTGTCAGCACTTCTAGATCTGGCAGGTGTTTTCTCTCGTTTCTGTTCTGGAAAGTTAGCATCACCAACACACTTCTGGGCTGACCCTGATTTTCTGTGCACCTTTGCCTCCGTGACCCCTGAGTGCTACAGAGAAGGCATCTTCAATCCACCTGCGCCGTCTTGTGGGTGGTGTGCCTTTTCTCTCTGGCTGCCTTTAAGATCCTCTCTTTGCCTTTGGTGTTCTGCAGTTTCACAACAATGTATCCAGGTGTGTGTTTCATTGTTTTTATGCTGCTTCGGATACATGGAGCTTCCTGGAGTTATTAACACATTTGAGGTTGGCAAATTTTTCGCTTTCCTAATACTGAGAATGGGTAAAAATTTTAAAAATTTGAAGGTGGTTGCCGCAAACTTCTGTCACTAAACACAAGTGAAATGGACTTTTCTAAATTGTCACCTTTTTCACAATACAGCTAAAAGTCGCAGACATGTCCAGTATTTGCCCCAGACACCACTTTGACTAGTATTCTCTACTTTGTATTTTTATTCAGTTTATACACTGGATATACATCATTCAGAAACAGAATTTGCAAAGACGTAAATTCATATCAACAGCACCAGGAACAGTCCCAACTACTCGGGAGGTTGAGGCAGCAGGATCTCTTGAGCCCAGGAGTTTGAGACCAGCCTGGACAACATAGTGTGACCACATCTCTACAAAAACTCAAAAACTTAGCCGGGCGCATGCCTGTAGTCCCAGCTACTCGGAGGCTGAGGCAGAAGGATTGCCTGCACCTAGGAGGTCGAGGCTGCAGTGAGCTGTGTTTATGCCACTGCCCTCCAGCCTGGATGACAGAGTGAGACCCTGACTCAAAAACATAAAAACAGACTCCTATTTGTAGGTTCCCTGTGCTGAGGCCTTCAGTTTAAAGTTTTGCCATCCAGCTGGGTGTGGTGGTTCATGCCTATCATCCCAACAATTTGGGAGGCGGAGGCGAGAGGATTGCCTGAGTCCAGGGGTTCAAGACCAGCCTGGGCAATTTGGCGAGACCTCATCTCTACAGTCAATCAAAATATCAGCAGGGTGTGGTGGTGCATACCTGTGGTTCCAGCTCCTTAGAAGGCTGAGGCAGAAGGATCGCCTGAGCCCAGCAGATGGAGGGTGAGATGACCATGAAAAGTGTGCCCCTGCATTCCAGTGGGGGCAACAGGAAGACTCTGACTCAAAAAAAAAATAGAGTCCTGCCATCTGCCCCTGGAGACATGTGGCAGTCGTGGTACCCAGAGAGAGAGATGGACAGGAAACCCCTGCCAGCTTGTCTTCCCAGAGAGCATTTCTCAACCTTCTCTTGCTGGGAGGCTGCGGTTTGGCTCTCCCTAATCCTGCCAGTCTCTGTTCATTTTCTGTTTGTCCCTCGCATGTCATAAAGTCTGCACTTGTGTGGCAGGTCCAGCGTCTTCTCTTTGAACAGTGCTCACATACATGGACTCGCCCGATCTGCTCAGCAGCGCTTGGAGCATGTTGTCTCCATTTCAGAAGAGGATACTGGGGTCCAGAAATGTCACTCAAATTGCTTAAGGACCTGTGGTCCACTCGTCTGACTCCAAATTCATCACCCCACCCCCAGAAAAGCCTGTTGTCCCTGAGAAAGAATGAAAAATACACTCCATGATTCACTCATTCATTCATCCACCTAATAGGTACCTACCATCTGTCATCTCCAGGCACGAGGGTGCCGCTGACAACAAGCCCTTGCCCTTACTGTGGTCTTGTGGGTGGCAGGCTGTAAATACGCAAGCAGCAACGTAGCCAGGCGCGATCCTTGCCACCATGGAAAGCAACACAGGGACAGATAGAGCAGGCTGGGGGCTGATGGGAAGGAAGGCACTACTCCAGTCGGGGAGGAGCCCGAGGTGAGGCGGGAGGGGCCTTGGTGGTCCAGGCCGAGGCACCGTGATGCAGCGACCTGGCCCAGTGTGGTGGGCGTTGGGGGAAGGAGAAGGGAGAGGGGGCTGGAAGCCACAAGGAAGGTGGGCGGGGAGGAGAGTCGGCCCTGGGGTGACCATCCCTCTGACTGTCTCCCCGCAGGCCTACCGGTTCTCACAGCTGCCTGAGATGGTCATGGGCTCGCCCCCGCCGCCCGTGCCTCCCCGGACCGGCCCTGTAGCTGTGGCGTCTCTCAGGCGGTAACACCTCCCTTTCTTTGCTTTGCTGGCAATGTTTGGAAAAGGCTCGTCCTCGAGCTCTGCCTGCTCAAGGGCGCGTTACCAGTGCAGGCACCAGAGGCCCATGAAGAAAGTGGGGATGGCAGAGGGCCCCCACCATGCACGGCTTTTAAAATAGGAAGTCCTTGAGAATCCAGAGTCCTGACCTTGAAGTTCCGTAGCCTGACCTTGAGCCTCTAAACCAGTTCCAGCAGTGGTCTTCCCAGTGGTTGTGGCACATGCCTCTTGCCGTGCGTGCCACTTAAGGGTGGAGTCTGGGAAATGGGGAGGGGCATGCCTGGGTGGCCCCCACCTCTGGCCTTCCAGGAGGGAGTGGCTGAAACGTCTGCCATCAGGTGTGTCTGCTGTGACCCCTACATTAGACGTTCTCCTGGCTCCGTAGGGTGTGACAAGCCATAAGGGCAGACAAGAAACTGCCAGGAGCACTGGGAACGACTGGACGGGCCCGGGGTATGCAGGGACCACAGTCCTGCCCTCCTGCCCCAGCCTTCCAAGACGTGCTGGCCACGCCCTGTGTGCGCACCACAAGTCCAACTTGGTAAAAATGGGGGAAAAATGGAGTTTTCCCCAGGAAAAGCCCTGCCCGCACTGCCCAGGTTGAGCACGTGCAGCTGCGCGGAGTCAGCCTCGCCGGCTGGGTGGGTACAAATCAGCAGCTGGGCTCCCACCGCAAGGCCCTAGCACCTGCCGGCCTGTTGAGCCTGATTATGGAACTGGAGCGCTGGGGCCACAGGCCGTTGGAAGCCCTGGACTCCCCCACAGGGCTCTGAAGAGAGGAAGCAGGACTCGGGCCTTTGTGGGAAGGGTTTTCTGAACAAGCAGCAGGGCCTGGAACAGAATGTGGGAAGCCAGGGCGGCAGGAACAGGCGAAGGAGGGTCGGGGGAGAAGGGAGAAGGGAGAAGAGAGACCCCACCCGAGCACCCCCCCCACCGCCACGCGCCATGTCATCAAACTATCACATCCTCCTCTCTGGGCCTCCAGAGACAGCGGGGGGGCCTCACTCCCCAGAGCTCCGGGTGGGAGGGCCCCCATCAGCCGTTCGAAAGAGGCTTGCTTTCCCTCACCCCGCGGTCTCCTCCCATACCCTTCCCCACCACCCGCTGGCCGTGCCCAACACCAGGGGGCACCGCGCTGCCCATGGACGCAGGCTAGACAGGAGATTTTTGGCCGTGAGGCCATCCACCCACTGGCCCCCGCCCCGGACACAGATGAGGAGATGGGCCTGAATGCTGGGAGCTGGAGCCCAACTCGTGCCTCCCTCTCCCTTTCTTGCTGTGGCTGCCTTCTGCTCGCCTGTGGAGGTGCCCTGTGGACCACCAGCCCCTGCCCTCTGCAGCTGCCGCCCTACCTCCCTCCCTCTGTGATTCTGGGAGCCTGAAGTCCCTGTGAATTTGCCTCAGGCCCAGGTGATGCCTGCTCGGGAAACCGCCTGTGGCCGGGCACCCCCTGAACCGGAGACGCCGCTGGGCAGAGCCAGGTCCTCTCTGTGGGCTCACGGAGCACATAGGCACAGGCTGTGGGGAGGGGCCTGGCTCTCTGGTTGCCCGAGCACCAAAAAGAAATGTTAAAGAAGTTCTGGCCGGGCTCGGTGGCTCATCCTGTCATCCCAGCACTTCGGGAGGCCGAGTCGAGTGGATTGCCTGAGCCCGCAGGTTTGAGACCTGCTCGGGTACCTTGGCGAGACCTCATCTCTACAATAAAATTAAAAAAATAGCCGAGCGTGGTACTGTGCGTCTGTAGTTCCGGATACCCGGAAGGCTGAGGCGGAAGGATTGCTAGAGCCTAGCAGGTCAACACTGGGGTGGCCATGAGCGTGCCACGGCATTCTGGCCTGGGAGACAGAGTGAGACTCCAGCTCAAAAAAAAAACAAACTTCTGTCCCTGAGTGGGGTGACCCAACGAAGCCTTCTCATTGGCTGCCAATGATGTCATCACTGAGGCCAGCCCGCACAACCAATTGCTTTGCTTCCCCCGTGGAGAGGGGGAACACTCAATACTCCCCAGCCAAAGCAGCCCTAGGGGAAGGCTGACCCTTAGCCTCTAAAATGACTCCAGCCGGGCCACTGATGTTACCCACCCTTAGGGGCTTAGAGGCAGCTGCCCATGCCCGAGGGTGCAGGGGCACCCCTCCTGCCACCTGAGGTCGGGGCGACAGTGACACAGCCCCTCTACCCCCAGGTCCACCTCAGACATCGGCAGCAAGAGCAGAGGGGCGGAGTCCGCGGGGCCCGAGCCCGCCCAGCTGCACGACGGCGCCCCCTTCGCACAGGTGTCCCGAGGCCCCGTGTCCATGGCGCAGCTGGACCAGTCGGCCTTGAATTACTCAGGTGAGCCAGCCCGCATCTCCCCTCCAAGCCCCCTCTGTGTGCCACCCCGGGAGTCGAGGCCACGGAGGACAGCCTCCCTGACCCCAGGAGCCCCGACTCCAAGGGCCGCTGAAATCCACACAATCCCAGGTTGCACCCAAGCTGGCGCCATGTGCCTGGCCTCGGTGAGGCCTTCTGCCATTTCATCTCTTAAGCCTTCCAGATAAGGCGCCCACTCCCTTCCTCCCCTCCCCGGAGGGGACCACAGCCCTGCATGACAGGTCACCTCCTGGCTACATCCATGCCCACTCTGGCAGCACCCATTAACGGGTTACACACTTCATATCTTTCCCCTCACACAGCTTCCTTGGTCCCATATGGCTTTCCAGATATCGCCAGGCTGTACACACCCGCCTGGCACCAGGCTGTCCCTGCACACCACCCTGTGTCCTGAACATGACAAGCCACACCATCCTTTCCCTGTCAGTGGACGCGACAGGGATTTCCAGTGCTTTGCCGTCACAGACTATGCTGGAATGAAGCTGAGGCCTTCGCCAGACCGAGCTGGTCTTTTGTCTGTTCAAGCCACGCCTTTTAGGCTATGCTGCAGGCCCCAGTTGCCAACACGGATCCAAGCATCCACAGAGTCCAGAGAGCCCACCAGTGAGGCCACTCCGGTTGGTGCTTCTCCTGCGCCCTTTAAAACCACGCTTGGCTAGCCCGGCGCAGTGGGTCACGCCTGTCATCCCACCCCTTTGGGAGACCGAGGCGAGAGAATTGCCTGAGCTTGGGGGTTGGAGACCAGCCTGGCAAGACCTTGTCTTTACAATAAATAAAAAAATTAGTCGGGCATGGTGGTACATGCCTGTAGTCCCAGTTACTTGGAAGGCTGAGGCAGAAGGATTGCCTAAGCCCAGCAGGCCGAGGCTGTGGTGGCCGTGAGCGTGGCACTGCACTCCAGCCTGGGCGACAATGAGACTGATTTAAAAAAAAAAAAAGAAAAAAAAAATACCTGGCCCTTTAAAAAGACACATGTTGAGAGGTGTTGGGGAGAGACGGAGGAGCTGAGCCTGGCAGACGATGCCCTCCCTGGACTGGGAAGGTTAGTAAGGCCTCGCACCCCCTGGCCAGGGCCAGGGCCAGCATCCTCCCTGCTCCCCAGCACCGCCCTCCCCCAAGCCAGAGGCAGCCCAGTGGGCAGGGTGCCGGCTGGACCCCCCACGACCTCTCTGAGGGAGGAGACAGGTCCAGGGCACTTGGAGCACAGGCTGCATCTAATGATGTTAGCGAAAGCTGTCCCTGCCCCTGGGCGTGTGCAGACCCCACCGGGCACAGGAAGGAAGGGCTGGACTCCAGCCTGCTCGGCCTCGGGGACAGAGAGCTCCACGGAGCAGGGGCCAGGCTCCCCCCACCACCTCCCACCCTCCTCCCTGGGGTCTCAGCCGTCATGGCCAGGGTCCCCCTCCCTGAAACACACAGCTGTCTCCCCCAGCGAATGTCACAGCCCGTAGCAAGCTCCCTCAAGTGGGTCCTGGTTCAGTGCGACTTCAAACCCAGCAGCACCAGGGAGCCTGGGACACCGGCTTCTTTGGCTCCCGGACGGCCAGGCCCCGGAGACCAGCCTCTGCTGACCTCGCTGTCTTCCCTGCCAGGTAACACGGTGCCGGCTGTGTTCGCCATCCCAGCGGCCAGCAGACCTGGCTTCACCGGCTACTTCATCCCGACGCCACCTTCCTACCGGAGCCAGGCCTGGGTGTCCTATGCGGGGGAGAGCGAGCTCCCCAGCCAGTGGGCCGACTCGGTGAGAGCCCTCCTGCTCCTCGGGGGATGTTGCCCGCGGGGTGCGCCGGGGAAGCAGGGACAGGCTGAGGCCGGGTGTTCATTACCTCAACTCCCCCGTGGCCAAAGTCAGCTGCTGCAGAGCCGCGTGGTCAGCAGGCCCTCGGCCACAGGCCTGGAGACTCTCCTCCTCAGCCAGGCTCACATGTCCCCCGCTGGGTGGCCTCAGCCAAGGACATTTCTGTCCTCAGAAATGGCTGGGAATGTTCTAGGCACCGGACACCGCATTCGATGTCTTGTTTGTGTGAGCTTGTATAGTCCTCACCACAATCCTGTCAGGCAGGAGTGATTCCCCTGATGGCTTTATCATTTTACTCCCATTTTGCAGATGAGGCAACCGAGGCCCGGCCAGGTGCTGTGACATGTCTGAGGCCACACAGCTAGTGAGCAGGTGCCGAGGCCGGAATTCAAACCCGTGCCTGTCTGGCTCCAAAGCTTTCGATCATGTGTTTCTTGTGGCTGGAAAGTGCTGTCGAATTCTGGATGAAGGGCCAGGACATGAAGCCTTGGACACCCAGAGCTGAGTCACCCTGCAGAGAGAGCCTCAGACTCCTCCTACCTGGCCTCTGGCCGAGGGCCGGAGTGTGTGGCCCAGGGGACCTGGCACTCTGCTCTGGCCCGGGTGTTCACACCCACAGCTGCCTCTGAGTTGCCCGTCGGGGCAGTGGGTGAGCCAAGCCAGCAAACAAGGAGAGCCGCCTGGCTGGGTGGGTACAGGGACTCGCGCCTGTCATCCCAGCACTTTGGGAGGCAGAGGCAGGAGGATTGCCCGAGCCCAGGAATTGGAGACCACCCTGGGTAACTTGGCAAGAACTCATCTCTACAAAAATATAAAAATTCGGTGGGCGTGGTGGCACATGCCTGTAGATCCAGCTTCTTGGGAGGCTGAGGCAGAAGGATCGCCTGAGCCCAGCAGGTCGAGTCTGCGGGGCTGTGAGCATGCCACTGGCCTTCAGCCTGCACGACAGAGTGAGACTCCAACCTAAAAAAAAAATCCTTTTGAAGTGTAGGCAATCTGTGACCAGGCCGTAAACCGCAGCTTTGACAGCTCCTCACTCCAGGAGTGTGACACAGTCGTTCTGTGGGATCAGGGGAGTATTTTCCAAAACCTTGACCCCTTCCCTCAAGATCCTTACAGACAATACCTTAGCCAGACGTGAAGCTACATCCAGACACCTGTGGGTTCTTACTGCCTTAAAGATGATGGCAAACCTGACCTTCCCAACAGGATGGCTGGGCCACCCTGTTCCTCCCCCAGTGTGAGAAAGGACCAGCTTCCTAGTAGCTGCTTTTGATTAAGAGAAAGATGGGCTGGGTGCGGCGGCTCACGCCCATAATCCCATAATCCCTTTGGAAGGCTGAGGCAGGAGGATTCCTGGAGCCCAGGAGTTCGAGACCAGCCTAGGCCACACAGTGAGACCCCCATCTCTACAAAAAAAAAATTAGCCAAGCATGGTAGCATGCACTTGTAGTCTCAGCTACTCAGGAGGCTGAGATGGGAGGATCACCTGAGCCCAGGAGGTCGAGGCTGCAGTGAGCTGTGACCAGGCCAGTGCATGCCAGCCTAGGGGACGGGGCAAGACCCTGTCTCTGAACAAATAGAAACGAAGGTAACCAGTAGATTCAGACATGGACTCAGATGACCTGTTGCTGTCTGCAGCAAAATTTACACTGATTTGGGGCTTCCCAACAGCATGTCGGGTGAGTCCAGACTCCCAATTTCCCAAACGCACAGTGGCCCTGGCCTCCCTCTGCTTGTCCTCCGTCCCCCGCCTCCCTGCCAGTCGAGCTCCCTCCTCATGCCGGCCGCCTCTTCTCTCCCCTACAGGTTCCCCTCCCGGGGTACATCGAGGCCTACCCCCGCTCACGGTACCCACCCAGCTCGCCGTCCAGGCTTCCCCGCCAGTACAGCCAGCCGACCGGCCTCCACCCCAGCCTTGAGCAGGCCCCGGCGCCCTCCGTGGCGGGCTCGCAGCAGAGCCTGGCGGAGCCCGACCCTCCCGACGCGCCCCTGACCAACATCTCCACCGCGGCGCTCGTGAAGGCCATCCGGGAGGAGGTGGCCAAGCTGGCCAAGAAGCAGACGGACATGTTCGAGTTCCAGGTCTAGCCCGCGGGGCCCCGGGCTTCCAGGCTCCAGGCACGTGGCCCGCGGGCTTCTCTGTCGGGGTGGTGGCACCCGCGTCCTGGACGGTGAACGCCTTCCCACCCTCGGCTTTGGACACAGTGACCCGTGGGGCTTCTGGGAAACAGGAAGCACCCGAGCACTGGATTCTTGAACTAACCCCCGGGTTGTGCGTTGGAAGTCCCCACGTGGGCCTTGGGTCTGCTGTCCTGCTGGGTTGACTGAACGGTGGGTGTGTCCCTGTGGAGCCTTGGTTGCGAAGGGCACCACCAGCTCCAGACCCTGTCCCACACCACGTTTTCGTAAACACCGGGGGGCAGAGGATGTGGCTCCCACCTCCGGTGACCTCTGCATGTTAGTTCTGTTTCCGTGTCAGGGGCCGTGCAGGCGTGTGGGTGCAGCGCCCAACTGTCCCGCGTGTCCTCCGGCCATGGCTGTCGCCACTAAACCCTCTCTTGTCTGAGGGAGACGCTGACTGCAGCCGAGGACCTTGAGCCCCTTCCTGCTAAAGGCTCACGTCCAGAGTCAATTGAGTCGGATGGCAGTCGGGCCGAGGCTGTGCCTGTAAATAGTCCTGCCTCCCACTGGTGTCCCCACTAGTTAAACAGAGGCCGAGAGAGGGGAAGGAAGGGCCGGGGGATTTCTACCAACAGCGTTTTTAAAAGGTGTCGCCGCTTTGGAAACCGAGTCCCCTGTGAGTGATGCTCTCGCTGAGGGGAGTTTGTGCTGAGAGTTTTTGGGACCCTGCAGAAGAAACACAGTCATTTGTGGAGGCTTTTGTCTGCCCTGCTTGGAGGGTGGCTTGAGGACAGAGCTCTCTCTTTGGGGTCGTCGATGCATGGACTTTTAAAGGAAAACTTCGGTCTCTCCAGCCGTGAGGTCCAGCGCCCACGCTGCAAAGGAAGCAGTGACCCATCCCTGCTGGAAATGGGCGGCAAACCCATGATCTCCCCAGGCTGCAGCCTCTGTGTACAGAAGCTTCTGGATGCAGAAAATCTGAACCACATTTGTGTAAATAACCCATAAGTAGTGTGTGGAGATGGCCAGGTCCCCGCAGTGAACGGATGCTGAAATGGCAAGTGGCCACGGTGGCCAAGAGGTCGCAAGCCGCCCCTCTGGCATGGCGAGTCGGCCCCAAGAGCGCCAGCCAGCGGACCCTGCAGTCCGAGCACCGCTGCCAACCACCGTCCATGTCGGCGGAACGGCCACTGAGTGTGTTGTGGGAGCGGGTCGCCGGGTTCCTCCCCTGCTGTGGGGGGCTGCTCCGGTGTCCTGGGGGTCAGAGCCCATCTGCCACGGGTCACCAGCTTCACACGTCCATCCTTCTGAGCACATCTTATGTTGTCTCCACAAGTTTCTTTGGTCTTTGCTGGAAGAAAAAGGCAGACACGTGATTGTGGAGAGAAGATGAGAAATGGACTGATCAGATTCAACCCGTCCAAGCACAGACTTTTCAAAGAAGCCGTTGTTCCTTCTCGGTGGCAAATTGGCCCTTCTGGAATGTTCCGAGAGGAACCTGCAAGCAAGCTCCTTAGGTGGTGTCCTCTTGGTGTGCTGGTTGCTCTTCCATAGCATTCGCTTTTTGTTACTTAAAAAGAAAACAGCTATAAATAAAATGTATTTTTGTAATCCCATGTGTATATATGGTATATTTCTACCAAGGGAGGTGTTGTGGCCCAGAACCCAAATCTGCTTCCACCACGCTGTGGACAGTGCAGGACAATGCAATGGGTCGAGCCATGCTGACCGACGTCTGTCCACCAGGCATTTGATGCCCTGGAACAAACAGAGAGTCAAAGAAACTCGGCCTTTTCGTGCAGATGGGTGAGTCCGACCCCGTCATCCCCATCGTTCCACATCATCAAGTCCATCACTATTTCATCAGTGCCCTGACGTCCACCCAGCATGTTGACCCCTTGGGAATGCCTGGAAAGGCTGTACATGACAATGACGTTTCAAGACCTTGGTGTCATGGAGATATGGGTATGTGTTTCAGGAGAGTGTCTGGGCTGTGGGTGTCCCGGCGATTTTCAGGAAGTGTTGAGATTGCTGAAAATGTGGCGTATCTAACCGGATCCTCCCTTGAAGCAGACCCTATGAGCTCCCGAAACCAGATGAGAGCAGGACCCTGAGTCGGAAGGAAACCAATCAGCACGTGTTTTCCTGCAAGTGCAACATGGCCACCCCTGCTGGATTTTCTGTGAAAGGCAGATGCCTAGAAGTGCCTTGCGGGAGTTAAGCTCCACGTGGGTGCTCCGAGATCCTGGGGAAGCCACCATGAATCCATGCTGACAGTCACAGAAGGCACAGAGACCCTCGGGTGCCCTGGAGGAGGAGGCAAGAGTCCCGAGGGCAGGAGCCCACCTGTCAATCTGTGATCCAACTTGCTTTCTGTGTCACCCTGCTTCCTGCGGGCTCCCAGTGACACATGTCTTTAGCTGTGCCTGGGAGTTGGAAGAGGGACAAGGGTCGCGGGAGGGACTCCATCATGTTCCAAGGATGGTTGACTGTGTGAGGAATGCAGGTCCAGTGTGCTGAGGACGGTGCATCTGTGGCATAATGAACGTTCCCGGCACTAGTTTTGATGTGAGTTTTCTGCATTTGTGATAAAGCAATAAATGCATTTTAACTTTTCCCAGAGAGTACCACCAAGGAAACGGTGTCCTCAGCTGCTGCACAAGCCTGTGAATTCCTCTCTCAGTACCAAGGACCCAGACAGGCAGGTAGGGATGGCTCGATTGCTTTGCTCTGTGTGGTGGCAGATGTACGTGCAGTGTTGGGAAGGGGCCAGAACTGCAGGAGCAGAAAAGTCTATGGCGTGGCCCAGTGCCCATGAGCCAAGGCTTGTGCGGTGACAAGATGGTACTGCTACCTGCAGAGCAGAGAGCTTCCTCTTCCGGGTGGATGATGTGAGAATCCATTCTCTGATCCCAGGAGAAGTTTTGCCCTGGGTGTGTTCATTTACGAACTCAGCGGGAGGGTGTGTAATTTATGAGTAGCCTTGATGAAAGTGAGGCAATGGTTAGATCTGTGGTTTTAAAAACAGAGAAAAAAACCTGAACGAGAAGAATGGAGGCGGTGAGGAATCTGAATGCCCGATGGAGAGAAGTGCTTTTCTGACAGGCAGAAATCAGAGAAATGAATCAAAGACGTAAGCACTGATGACACAGAAATCAGCTTCCTTTTTGCTGCTCAGCACACAGGCACTCTCACTGGATGAACGGTATTTCAGGTGTTGTTTTAAAACTTTGAGGACAGGGTTTGGACTCAACCCTAAACTCTTCCAACCATGCACCAGAAAGTCCTTGGGAGTTATCTCCCAAATACAGCCAGATCGCTTAGAGAAAGGCGGGTATGTAGCTCAGAGCAATGCCTGGCTGGAGTCTGAGTGCTGGAAATTAGGTCCTGCAGCTCTGGCCAGTCTCGAAGGTGTCCCAGGCAAGGACTGTCAACCCCTTCCTTCCCACTAGCTTGAGGACGGTGTGGCAGAAATATGCCCTCCTCGCCCCGCCTCCCTCCCCCTCCCACGGCTTCCAGCCCTGTTCCCTTCATACACCAACTCAGCTCTTGGCTTCTCCTGCCGACCAGCCTTCTGTCTGTGCAGACGCAGCTGAAAAGGCCCCCCAGTTCCCCCCGGCACAGCCTTTCCCTTGAGTCCTCACTGCACTCTGACCAGCACCTCTGTGCCCCCAAGGCGAATTCTCGGGGCTCTGATTGGTCCGGTGTATCTGCCTGTGGGTGGCCATTCTGGGTCAGGGGCCATTGGAGGCAGGTATGAAATATAAGCATGCCCCTCCCAAGACTGACCCCACCTGCGGGGCTGCTGTTGGGGGCTAGTACTCAGAGGAAGGGGCACAAGGGGACAAAACCTCAAGGAACTGGGCCAGGTGTGGTGGTGCACGCCTATAATCCCAGCACTTTGAGAGGCTGCGTTAGGAGAATTACTTGAGCTCAGCAGTTCGAGACCAGCCTGGGCAACATAGCGGGACCCTATCTCTGCCAAAAAATGTTAAAAATATGCTGAGCAGGGTGGTACTCCCCTGTAGTCCCAGCTACCCGGGAGACCAAGGCAGGAGGATCACCTGAGCCCAGGAGGTCGAGACTGCAGTGAGCCCTGATTGTGCCACTCCACTACGGTCTAGGTGAGAGAGTGAGACCCTGACTCAATCAATCAATCAGCCAATGAATAAAAAAACAAGGCCCCTCCTTCAGCCTGGAACTGCCCATCACTCCGGGAGCCCCGTACAACCTGTCCCAGGGAAGCAGTTTCCCTGTACACGGCCGCGGAGAGGGAAGGATGCCCTCACTCGAACAGCACATGCCCTCCTGGCCCCAGGAGACCGGCCACAGTGGTCCCTCCACTCCCCACCCAACATGGTGCTGGAGACAGCCTCCAGGCCTGAGAAGGGATTCCGACCCAGCCCGGTTAGCACGGCTGCTTGCTCGGAGACAGTACATGTGTGTAAACCGCGTGGCCCTAGCTCAGGGGCCAGGGCGTGCCTCGTGGTCACACCCATGCATGGATGAGGGGACCCGGGGCTTCCAAGTCTTCTGAAACAAGATTGGCTTTGGGTGACACCACCATGGCTCTGCTGTGACCTCCGAATGCAGCGAGTTCGTGTCCCCGGAACGGAGAGGCCTCTTGCTCTCACAGGTGAGCTCTTCGTGTATCCCAGCCGAGGTTGTTGCCGAGACGGCGATGTTTCTGAAAAGGAGAATATTCAGAGCAGCAGCTGTCCCAAAAACAAATGCGTTTGAAAGACGTGGAGTTGCTTTGACCCTGCGGGTTGCAAAACTCGGGAAACGTGAGACGCAGTAGACCCGTCTCCCCTGCACAGCCCGCCCCCGCACGAGAGCCATGGAGGCCAGAGATCGAGGCGCTGCCTTCCCTCCCACGTTCAGACCCTCACAGATCCCGGAGGGCGGCCACACGTGCTCCTCCATGCACTGCCCGTGACCCTGCATGTCTCTCCTCCTCTCTTCCTGCGTCTGCACCCACCCCACCCACACGCAAACTGAGGAGAGGAGAGGTGTGAGCCCTCAGAGTCGGGGGCGTCAGTGGGCTGGAGACTTGGACAAAGGTGTAAATATCACAGCCCTTGAGCACGTCCCTCGGAACTCGTCTCTGACCCCTCACCTGGCACACGGCGACCCCGGCGTCGGGGCCTCCTCCCTCCCACGGGGCTGGGAGGCGCATGGAGCCTCGCGCCTCAGAACACGGTGCAGAAATGTATTCAAAGGCAGTCTTACCAAATTGTTACTTTTGTAATTCAGTTTTATCCAGCAAAACATCTTAGCTCCTCCTGTCCGCGGAATTATTTCATATTGTCACGTTGTCCCATGTCCCTCGCCACCGCTTCTTGTCAAGGAAAGACGAGGATAGTCCTGGACTTGGCAGCGTCTACGCAAGCCAGCCTCCCTGGAGTCACTGCTGTCCGTGATTTGAAGGCCGTGCAGGTGCCCGCGTGTGGGCTTAGACTCTGGGTGGGACGCTCAGGCCAGGCCGACGAGTCTTTAAAGCCACGTCGGACACCTGGGCAGAGACTGAGCAGAAGCTTTGAATGGAGCCGTTATTTTAATGCTTTGTTTTTTAATTAACTTTGTACGTCCTTCGCCTTTGCCGGTAACAGAGTGTTCATATGCTGTTAGGATTTTTTATTGTACAATAAAATGACAAAGGCTTTCATACCCCGAACCCTGTCTGCTTCTCGTTCTAGATGGGAGGCTCTCCCCCGGCCGGGCCCCTCACAGCGCCTGGTGGGGTGGAGGAAGAGGCTTGCTTGCTAAGGGACCCTGCAGTCCTGGGGGCTGACCCAGTGTGGTCCCAGAAGCCCTCGCGGCTCGGGGCATGGGCTCATCTGGTTGTCCACAGGCCAGAACAGCAGTCCCAGGCCACCATGGCTTGGCAGCCGATGCCTAGTGTGGACAGGCCCTGGGACAGAAGCCAGTGTCGGCTCAGAGCTTATGGAAGTCCCCGCGAGATCAGTGGCGCCCAAGAGTCCCAAGAGATGACGGTGGCATGGGACATCAGTTCCCAAGGCCCCCTGCCCAGTCCCGCCCATGGTAGTCCCAGCAGTCCTGATGCCTGTTGGTGTTCAGCCCTGTTCAGAGTCCATGCCCTCTGGCATACACCCACAAAATCACAACTGAGCAGCCATAGAAGTGTGGCTGGGCACATGGTCTGGGCCAGCTGGACTTGAGGAGACACCGAGAGATAGAGCCTGTTGGCAGTGGGTGTTGAAACCGGGTGGCCAAGACTCAGAGCAGCATGGGGTGCCATGGCAGGCTGTGTTTAGAGCACAGGTCTGAGAAGCCCAGTGGCGAGCAGGAAGTAGCCATGTGGCCAGGGAGGTTTCAAGTGGAGCGAGGAAGCCGGTCACTTGTCGCAGAAGCAGACAGACGGGCCACCTCTGAACGTGCTGTGTCTGGGGTCCATCCCACCTGGGGCTTCTGTGTGTCTGCTGGGCTTAGGCAGCAGATGCTGTGCCGCCCCCTGCTTTGCTCAGTCCTGCGGGCACCTGAGGAAGAAGGAGCGAAGGTGACTCCTCCCTGCCCCTCTAGAAGGAGGGAATGTATGCACGCGGCCCCCAATGCCTGTCCTGCCACAGTGCTGAGGGGCAGACTTGAAG